GCTAGTCATTAATAAAAATTAAAACTCAAAAACTTTTTTTTTACTGAATTAGAAATGTTGTTACTCAGTACGCACAATAATTATTCCTTCCTGCTTTTGTTGTAAAATAGAAGTAACGCGACTCTATACTGATATTACGACGTTTGTAACATTATTATATTACGTAATATAAATCGCACAATCGTATGATATCGTACGACCGTGGTGTTTTTATTAATGAACGAGAAATCAGGCATGCGGACGAGGATCAAATTTATTTTAATATGGCGGCAAACAGTCTGCAACTTTTTTTCCAATTTCGTTTTGTTCATACTCATTAATTACCCACAAATTATGAAGTTATAACAAAAAGTGCAACATGCATGCATAAAACGCTCTGAGGAATTGTTTACGATGATTCCATCATCTCGTTTTTACCACCGCACCGCCCGCCACCGGGGTAGAGGTCATCCATACTACCTGGATCCACTGCGTTCATCCAGTGTGTTTCCAGAGATCTTTTTTGCCACGTACCATCCGGCTTTGAAATGAGCTCTCGAGACTCCACGGTGTTTCCCGAGCGCTATCACATGTCCTTCTTCAAACGAAGCTTTTTGAGAGTACTTAAAGGTAGGCAGCGGCTTGGCTCTGCCCCTGGCATTGCTGAAATCCATGCGCGACGGTAACCACTCACCATCAGGTGAGCCATATGCTCGTCTGCCTACAAGGGCAATAAAAAAAGTTGTACTGGTAAATAGATACTTAAATACTGATGCTATCTTTTTATTTTAAATTAACTACCACTGTTATGTGTGTAACATGTCTTTCATTTGCCATACTGCCTTTGCCACCCATAATATCTACAAAAAAAACCATCTTACATAAGAATTGGCAGCACTTCTATCGCCATATTCAAACATCCCAAAGCAATTTGTGAGCAAAAGAAAATAAAAGCAAAACATATATTGGCATACAGTCGTGGCATCAATTACATAAATTATAGTATTATTAAGGAATGCTGATATAGAGGATTCCGAATAGATTTAAATAAATTCATCGCCTTAAGCATCCCGAATGGATCATGAAATGTTTTAGCTCCGACTGTAAACACCATTTAAAGAAACCGAATTCTTTTTTCGTAAAATGAATTGAAAAATAAAATACCCTGTTCTGTGTTCTTAGTGCCAGTTTTTAGCGTTATCGATAACGTAAAAGTTGGAACGCTTGCCTACGTTTGCCGCTAGGGACGCTGTTCCAACTGCATACAAATTTGAGTTAACTTTTACGCTATCGAGAGCGTTAAAAAACTTGTACTAAGCACACCGGTCGACAAGAAACGGGTTTCTCAGCAGCAAACAGGAAGCGAGCACTGTACAATTTTAAAGAAAATTAGTAAGTACATATGCGATAATGATGGTAAAAAACGGGTTGAATTTAGCTTTTATATGTTGTATGCTATAATATTTTGTATGTTGCGTGTATATATTTTTTTTTTTCCTACCTAAGCTGAGAGCCTTGAGAGGCTATTTTAGCGTAACCCTAACGTTTGTAGGTGAGCTCACGGGGCTCAAACCTGATGACGTTGCTAACACGAACCCTAGCAAGAGCCGTGCTTCGCAGAATCTACCACCGGATCGGAAACGCGACCCACTGAGAAGATCCGGCGAGAAGCTCAGTGGGCTGTGTCTGAGAGTTAATTTGCTCGTCGAGCCCTTCGTCGCAAGCGACGGGTTCGACGAGAACGGTGACCGGTGCTTGAAGTACCTAAAAGCACCGTTAGTGGATCGGGAGGATCCGAGATGACGTGTTTTGGGCGACGTCGACTGCTTTCCAGTTTGTCCGCAGGATCGGGAATGTAGTTACCGGCGGCCACGATGAGAGGGTTCTCGTGTCGTGCCGTGCGCGTAAAGAAGCGGGAATGCAAATGGGTCGTTCGTGATTTCTAAATTCAAAATTATTACGTTGTTCAGTAAACTTTTTGAAAATCATACGCCTTCAAGGAGGATTCATTAGATCCCATAAAGACGGCGTGACAATCATGTAAGCTCTAAATCTATAACTGCGTTGGGAAATAATAACCACCACCGCTAGCCCTGAAAATCACAAATCTGAGTATCAGGTACCTATTTGTTTCTCTATTTGCGTCTCATAGTATTTTCATGTTTTTGAGAGTAACATTAACTACATTGGCACAATATTTGATTTAAGTACATTAGATAAAATGTTGATAATTTAAGCACCGTAAAATGTAATGAAAAATGTTTTACCTATGCTGATGTAATAGTAAAATGCACAGCAAATAATTTAGTCAATCATGATTTTAACTTATTTTTTATTGCCTAGTTTGATGACTGAGCTCATAACCTAAATTGCTTTTGATTAGTTACTGGAGCTTAGAGACATGACAACAGAATACCGCCACACGCTGTGTCATGAGTTCAAAGCCTCAAAGGCTCACACAAGACCCTACTACTACTATAATCATGAAAAATATTACTTGCTTGTTTGATTTTAATATACAGTGTATTTTTTCTTCTTGGCAGTCATTTCTGAACACATTAATTACATATTTCAATCTTTTCTGACCTGCGTGCAGTTGTTCGATTTGAAACTGGGCATGTTATTTTTGAGGTCACAATATCTTTTCGCCTCCCATCTTGAGATTGAGATTAGTCTCAATTAAGTTAAAAAACATAAAATAATTACTAAAATACATAAATATAGAAAGTATAATAAAAGCCCAAAACAGAAAGAAGAAAAAGTTATAAAAGATCATTCATCATCATGAGCTCATAGACATCCACTAGATAGGCCTCGCACAATTATCACTACAATGATAGGTCCTGGGCAGCCTGATATGGGAGAGAGAGAGAGAGAGGAGTGAGCGTTGAGATGACGGCTGATAGAAGAGAATGGAACAGAAAAAAACGCTGTGCCGACCTCACCTAGTGGGATAAGGTGGAGAAAAAGAAGAAGAAGCCAGTTAACCAAATAATGAGTGTATCATTTTCTTTAAAGACAAAAATCTTGTTGATATTAAACGGTATTTATTGCACACACATAAATTCTGATTTTTAACCTTAACAAATTGATCTGTGTGACGAGGTCAATATATGATATCTGTTATTACAATGAAATATATAATTGTAGCTATTTACATCAAATCTAAATATTAGTTAGATTGCTTACCTAAAGCATTTACAAATTTATAACCTATAATTTAAAAACATTTTATGCTTATTATCCTGGCTAAAATTGTCTTTGTTTTGTCCCAGAATACATGTATGTAAATAAGATAATTTGTATTTTGTAAAATTACTAGGTTTAAGCTAGAAATATGACTTACCATCAGCATTGCTTATATTATTTTCACTTCCCATTTCAACACCGACCGTGTTTATTGGTTGCTAACTATTACGTGGTGTGTTACAATCACTGTTCACTATTTTTCCTTCAAAATGGATTCAAAGTGTATGTTATAAATCGAAAAAATACCACATTTACTGTTTATCAGCTGTTTTTGTAAACAAATTTATGAAACTGACATTTATTTTTGTTATGTTGGTCATCGTTTTTTTTGGTACAATTTTTCCTTATTAGGAAAGGCAAAGGGATCTAAGTCCATACAGCCTTGTCTGTTTTATATAATTTCTGAAATATGGTCATAGTTATTTTGCATTATCTTTTGATTATGTTATTTTTATAGGGATTTTATGACCTGGTATCTAAGACCTTTAGGTCAAGTCTTATTTTAATTAAATTCTTATTTTTATGAAAAATTATAATATTATGAAGTGAAATGAAATGAAGTTGATTAATATGAAACTTGGCATGAAATGAAGTGAAATGAAATAAAATGATATTAGATGATATGGTATGCAATATAATCTCAGTAAAATGGTGGTCATTTACTGAGATTTTTTTCAGTGGACTTTTTGTAAGATCCCGAGAAGTTACGTCCAGCGGCTTTGTTTCATTTTCCCACATTTGCGCACTTTCACAATTTATAAACAGTTAATAAACCACCGTTAATACACATTTAAACCTGAAGAAACACTAAATAGACAAAATAAAACAAATGACACAACTTCACTTGGTTATGTATCTTCAATGTTCAGAGTACGTGCATCAGGGAGCAAATAGAAAAAAAAAACGTGCGTATTCATGTGCGAACAAAATATTTTTTGTCGAAATTGAATTCTTTTTAACTCATAACTAATGTTTAACACATTTTTTGCTGAGATGACTGAACGAGCTTACGGCTCACCTTGTGTTAAGTAATTATCTAAGTACGGAAATCAATCACACTGCTGGAATGCACTCTTTGATAAATGTGAGGTCTAAGTTTCAACTGTATAGTAGTCCAACCCTAGAAATTGAAATTTATTATTGATTCGCAGCAGACAATAGACTATATTCAATAGAATATATTTAGACAGACAATAGGTATTTATTCATTTAGGCTCTCAAAAGCACCAGTATGAAATTTCACTAAAATACATTGTGACACATTGATGCGTCTAGTTTCATTACATGTATAAAATACCTTAAAAATACACTAAGATCTTTAAATCATTTTTTGATAATCGAAGGGAAGCATTATTTTCTGTATGTTAAAAGTGGCATTTTTTTATTTATACCTTAAAACATATCCATAGCCCTCAAAAGACTGTTTCATGTTAGGGAAAAACTTGGCTACGCCTCCCGTTGTTGGTATTGATGGGCGTTTATTCAAATAAACCACAAAAAGCATTAATTACGATAATAAAAAAATCCACGACATTATTCTACATATTCCTGTAAAAAATAATTCGCACAGACTGCTCAATACCATACTAATCTCTAATCTGACTCACTACGTGAATGTTGGCTAAACATGACGCGACGCTTGCGTCACGTACCCGACTTCATAAATTCCGCGATTTTAGAGTCGTTTTGAATTCAAGGTTTCGCTCATTTGTATTGGAAACTTTAAAATTTATCGAAAACTTCTTTTATACATTTGGATATTTTGTTTCAGATGTTTTGAGAATGTAAACAAATCTGCGTGAAGAAGAAAATTTGAAGCCCGATCAAGTCGATTACTTGGAGAAACGAATTACGATGTCTACCGCCGTGGTTGAGAATGGACAAAATGTTAATGATGAAATTAGGTATAATTATTATTTAACTACTACAGTAATGACATTAAAGCTATTTTAAAAACAAACTAATGCTTAAGCACTAATTTTTAGTTAAATTTTATCAAGTTCAATTATAAAAAAAATTAAAGTTTAGAAACATTTTAAAGTTGCCATAATCTGCGGCTTATTAAACTTATGTTTAAACGAGTACCAAGGGATCGCTTTAAGTCAAATTACCAATTCAAGTAATTATCACACTTTTATGACTATTAAAATAATTTTTGATACCAGCCATTCCACTATTAAGCTCCAGAACGTATGGTAATTCAAAGTCAGTAATTAAGTACAAAACTTTTTTCAGGGGACAAACATACTACTTCCCTGGGGGTGGGTCGAGTGCATCGCTATGGCAACGGATAAATTTATTTATATCTATTTACTGGAAGTCTATAATAGTAGTGCTAACACCACTGCTACTGCTGCCCATACCGATCTTGAATAATGGACCAGTAAGTTTAATTAAAAAAAGTACCATAAAATGTATATGTAATGTGAAACTACTGCTGCAGTTATTTAAAAATTGTAGATTTCTTTAAGATTGAAAATTAAAATATTTGATTAAATTAAGCTGTTACCTTATTTATGTAGTTATGTGGTACTTGCAAGAATCTATTTAGCGGTAGGCAGCGGCTTGGCTCTGCCCCTGTCATTGCTGAAGTCCATGGGCGACGGTAACCATTCACCATCAGGTGGGCCGTATGCCTACAAGGGCAATAAAAAAAAATAAAAGAAAAATATTAACCCCACTGCAGCAAATATTCCATTAATGCACCTATAATGAGTAACAGCATTTCAAAACCAAATCTATAGCTGCGGTGGCATTAATATGCAAAAATTATTTTTTTTAATAATAAAATGAATGCATACTTTTGCTTTAAAATATTCTCGGTTAAATGATTTTTTTTGCCACTTTGCATTATTCCAGTGTCATCATACTCTATGTATCAAGACAACCCTATTGGATTTGTGAATAAAACCCTTTTCAATGACACATTTTGTAGTCAATAAATTTTTATATTGCAGCCAATTAACACAATTTACAGGCCTACAGATGTATGTACGTGGTCCTAATCATGGCAGTGTTTTGGGTCCTCGAACTCCTCCCCCTGCCGGTAACTTCAATGTTGCCGATCGTCCTGTTCCCGACTATGGGCATCTTGGATTCGGATAAGACCTGCGCGGCCTACATGAAGGAGACCAACATGATGTTCATGGGAGGCTTGATGATTGCTGCTGGGGTGCAGCACTCCAAGTTGCCAAAGAGGGTTGCACTATGGACAGTTCAAGTCGTAGGCTGTTCACATAGAAGGTATGTAAGAGTTTTGTTTAGTCTTGTTTTTTACTAAACAGCGATGATCGATTGGTCATAATCATATCGTCTTCTCGCATTAAAACTGTATAATCTCAAAACTGACTATTTTTCAAGAGAGTGTTTTAAAGGTTTAATGTGTAATATTTGAAACTTTTTTTTTTTTTACCAATTACATTATCTGTCTTTTAAAGTAAGATAAAATTATGTACCATATTAATTTTGTTAATAGTAGTCAAAACATAAGTGAACTAAAAAAAAAAAAAAAACTATACTACCCTCTTTTGACAGTAATTATGAGAAAAATACTGGTGATACCAAATGTTTATATGCATATAAAGGTTTTTTCTATTCCTTGAGAATAGTTCTTTTATCTCACTGAAAAAACAGAAATTGGCATAATTACTTCAGTTTACCACATAGGGCAATAGTGAATTACATGGCTGTCAAAGGGTTAAAATTGTAGATTTAAAACCACAACAAAATTTAGGGTTGAACGGAATGAACCAAATCCAAAACGAATACATTCTGTAAACTGTACTTGAGACCTTAGAACTTATATCTCAAGGTGAGTGGCGCATTTACGTTGTAAATGTTTATGGGCTCCAGTAACCACTTAACACCAGGTGGGCTGTGAGCTCGTCCACCCATCTAAGCAATAAAATAGAAAACTAATCCCCATCTTTGATTTTGTCAATTTATTTTTTCAGGTTGAACTTTGGGTTGACGTTTGTGACTATGTTCATATCTATGTGGGTATCTAATGCGGCCGCCACGACCATGATGGTGCCAATCGTAGATGCCATACTCGAAGTTTTGGAACAGGTAAACAATAAACTTAGTAATTAATGATATAAACAAAAATTTAAATACTAGAAAAGTAATATAAAATTTTCTGGTATGTAAAAGCCATCACAAGAATCTATTTAGAAGATAGACATTGCGGCAACAGATCACATACTAAATTTATGAGAGTGAGGACTAGAGTAAGACTAGAGTTATGCTATTCAGCAATGAAACTTTGTAATTGTGAGTGGTCACTGGTGCTCATGGACGTCAGCAATGCCAGGAGTACTAGCGACTAGTTTCGCCGCTAAACTTTACAAACAAGGTCTCACAAATTTCATCCAGAGGAAGTGTATCATACATAAGAGGTTTCATATTGCCCCAGCTACAACACATCATAATAATATGCTATATAGTTAGTAAAAATGCCAAAGAAAACTTTAATTTAACATATTAATGTAACATTAATATTATCCGCAGCAAGGCTTAGGTGACGTGTACATAAATAAGAAGAATCAGCCCACAGAAAATGGTAAAGAAGCGAAGGCCAGTGGACCAGTAAAGAACACTGATGAAGAGTAAGTGGAAAATTATTAAGTTCATTAATGTTGCTGTTAAGTGACAGAGTTAACTGTTATCGTATTTTTTGTTGCTCTAAAAAGATCAGCTCTTCAGCTAACACATCACATAGTGTAAAGTAGTCATGAGATCTCATAGACTTGGATGATTCACTCACATTGAGGCCCAAGAACAGATTCTCTGAGTTGTATTATAATAGCTCTCGGCTCCGCAGCAGAAGTAGCCAGGTATGTGATACATGCCTGTGTGGGATCACAAAATTACGTAGGTACGATAAGATTGGCCCAACCTATATAGTGAAATAAGTAAGTATAAGTGCTCAGTGGCGAACAATTGGAGAGGCCTATGTCCAGCAGTGGACAGCTAGCTATATGCTGATGATGAATGAATGAATGAATATAGTAAAATTACAAAATTATCCGAAACATAACTTTCTTTTTTGATGCCCACAGAGCACCAATGCCAAGTAACATAACTATATGCTACTACTTAAGCATCGCCTATGCCTCGACCCTTGGCGGTTGCGGCACTCTGGTCGGGACAGCCACGAATTCTGCGTTCAAAGGAATTTTTGATTCGTAAGTAAATGGACAGTTGATTTTAACTCTGGTAATACAAAACAGAAATTTCACAAACGGAGCCTGGCCCCGTCTAGAGGCTTAACGGTTATAGCATCACATAGACAACATGACGTCGAAAATGTTGCCAGACTTTTGATTGCTTTTTTAAGGGATTTTATGACTTGGTAACTAAGACCTTTAGGTCATGTCTTATTTTAATTTCTTTTCTTATTTTTATGAAAAATGATAATATGGAGTGAAATGAAATGAAATGAGATGAGATGATATGGGATGAAATATAATCTCAGTAAAATGGTGGTCATATACTGAGATTTTTTCAGTGGACTTTTGGGAGGATCCCGAGAAGTTACGTCCAGTGGCTTTGTTTCATTTTCCCACATTTGTGCACTTTCACAGATACTAAACCGTTAATAAACCACCGTTGTTACACATTTAAACCTGAAGAAACACTAAATAGACAAAATAAAACAAATCACACAACTTCACTCCTCGCGTTCCCGCCAAAAAGTCAACTTTTGATTGCACGCCATTGAGTCCACAGAAAATCGTTGACATATACTCGGACGTTTAGACACAAATATTTTTTGATTGCATGATTTATCGAATACCATAAGTTTTGCAATCAGTGACGTACTTATATGAAAATATTAATAAAAATATTATGATACGTCTATATTCGTTTTGTATAGAAGCTTAAAAAGTCCACATGTGAGTTGGCAAAGTATAGAGACGCCAAGCAGGTTGCGGACCCTGGGCCCTTGGCGCTGGAGGCTGAATCTCACGCGTCTTCATGGTGCCGCTACAAGCATCAGTATCGTCTAAATAGAGATCACTGTAGATAACATCATTACTAAATATAGTACAGTGATGTTTGTTTGTAGGGATAACTCATTACCCTGCGTTCTCGGAAACGGTCGAAGTACATCTTGTAAACATAGTAACAGATTTCTAATTACAAAAAAATAGTTGGCAATTTAACAAAATCTATTACCAAAATCTATATTGGAAATTCATATATTTTTTACACTAAGACAAAATATTGTAGTGTTACTACTAAGTTCTATTGGTTTATTGGCAATAAACTGATTTTTGTGTGCATTTTCTGTTTCATTATGTAACTGTATTTTGCTAAATATACTTAGTGAGGTAGTAAATATGTTGTAACACAGATGATTACTGTTATTATTACAGTGAGTTCCCCGAGTACTCGAGTTCGGTGAACTTCTTCTGGTTCATGGCGTACAGCACTCCGCCCATGCTGCTGATGCAGTTCCTCGTGTGGATGTCCTTACAGATCACCTTCATGGGAATGTTCAGGTATACAGACCTAACTGAAGTCCAGTCTTTGCGACTCAGAGACATAACTAGCACAAATTTTATGGTTCACGAGTTGTTCCATTGCGATCACGAAAGCTGTAAATTAATAAAATGGAAATAGTAAACTTGACATTAAATTGTAAAAATAGATTTGATTACAATCCAAGTCTGTTGTCATTAACCATAAGCCGGACATGAGACTTCTGCAACAGAGTACCAGCATATTGTATAGAGCTAGACTAGAGCGTAGTAGTCCTCAGTAGGGAGCAATGCGGGTATGGCCGAGTCTCTTGTCTCCTGTCTGCTACTAAGGACTCTTCTCAAGCCTCGTTTGTAGAAGGAAGGGTCATGTAGTAACATCCAGCGCGAGCTGGAGCATGATGTACTAATGGTAACAATAACTGCCTGTAGACCTAACAGCGAAGCCGCCAAGGCAGTGAACCTCGCCAGCTCCGGCTCCACGAACACCATGAAGGTTATCAAGGAGACGTACAGGAGTCTAGGACCCATCACTTTCCATGAAAGAGTGAGTTTTTACTATCACGCACTTATACACATTTTATTATTATCCACGTCCGTATCTGCTCCTCTCGCTAAGAATCAAATACTGTGACAACTGAAACCTTGGAACTCATGTCACAAGGTGGTTAGCGGCATTTACTTTGTAGATGTCTATGGGCTCCGGTAACTACTTAACACCAGGTACGCCCTGAGATTGTCCACCCATCTAAACAAAAATAAATAAATTTCGAAGGAGTTGTTGAACAGATTCCAAAGAGGAATTATTATTATTAAGTAGATGTAAGACTCCATAACGTTCATTTGAAGAGGAGGAGTAGTTAACCCGTGGTGACGTTCAGGCTTCAGGTTTCCTGTTCATCTTTGCGGTGCTCCTGTACATCTTGAGGAAGCCAGGCTTCATGCCGGGCTGGGCTGACGTCCTCACCGCCATGTAAGTACTGCACGCACTCCCACAGTGCTTTGTAATTATATTATCTAAACAATTAATATATATTTGAATCAGTGAATTTATTCATCAAGGGCTGTTGTATTCAGAATTCAAATTTGGCGGTTTGTAAATTTATTAATTATGAGTTATTTAGTTAACATCACTGTAAAACACAATTAAAATTTCTCTCTGCGCAGTGTCTTTATTTGTGTGTCAGAAATATCGTTCATTTAGTATATTAATTTATTGCATTGTTTTAACGGCCGTCTGGTGTAGTGGTAAGTGACATGGTCACTACACTAGGGGGTCGCGGGTTCGAATCCCGCCAATGGGAGATATTTGTATGATAAATATAAATGTCTTTTCCAGGGTTATGGATGTATATTAAAATATTCAATATATGTATGTGTATGATAAAAATCTTACATTTATTTCCGTTATCTAGTACCTGTAACACAAGTTCTATACGAATTTATCACGGGACCAGTTAACGTGGCGTGATTGTTAGTAAATATTTATTTATAATAAAATTAGTCGAGAAATTTGTGACAACCCTGCGTTTCCCAACTCATGTCCCTTATATAATTTCAGGAAAGTGAAAGACGGCGTGACGTCAATGTTCATAGTGATCCTGATGATCATACTGCCCATGTCCACGGACTTCCTCAAGTTCTTCTCATCTAACGCTTCTTGTGAGTGGATCGTTCGTTGCCAACACATTTAATTACAAAATTAAATTAAAATAAATTTCAAAATTAACCCTTTGACTGCCATGTAGGTCACCGGTGCCCTACGCGGCGCATTCAAGTAATTACGTCGATTTTTGTTACTAAGCGCCCGGACTACCTAACTTTGCATTATTTTGTTTATTAATGTCCGTTTTAGTCTTTTAGGTCTCTTAGAAATAGATTCATTCTCAGTATCTTTTTACTGGTGGTAGGACCTCTTGTGAGTCCGCACGGGTAGGTACCACCACCCTGCCTGTTTCTGCCGTGAAGCTGTAATGCGTTTCGACTTGAAGGGTGGGGCAGCCGTTGTAACTATAGTGAGACCTTAGAACTTATATCTCAAGGTGGGTGGCGCATTTACGTTGTAGATGTCTATGGGCTCCAGTAACCACTGAACACCAGGTGGGCTGTGAGCTCGTCCACCCATCTAAGCAATAAAAAAAATAAAAAATAAAATCTTCAGGTTCGTCTTTCTCAGAGTCTACTAGATATTCTGGCGCCTTAGTAAGAAGATCGGCGAGAAAAATTGACGTAATTACTTGAGTGCGCCGCGTAGGGCACCAGTGACCTACATGGCAGTCAAAGGGTTAAGAAATTGCTAACGGTGATCTCTGGTAGATAACCGACTATTAAAGTAATATCAGCTGAAAGACAATAAACACTAAGAGTTATGATTGATCTGTCTCTCACAAACACACCTGACCTGCCGTGTGCTTGCAGACGAGGAGCTGGCGGCCGCCAAGCCGTCGCCCAGCATCGTCACGTGGAACATCCTCAAGGAGAAGATTCCCTGGGGACTACTGTTCTTGTTGGGTGAGCATTACTGACTTGTGGATCAATTACTGTTATTGTTGAATATGAGTCGACTATTATCAAAGGCGGCAATCTGACTTTTGGACAATGATTGGTAAATCAGAAAAACGAATTATTGACTTTGTATTCCATTGGCAGTCACAAAACTCTTCGGAACGACATCTTAGATAAATAACAGGTTAACTATTAACCTTTATTTAATGCAGGTTTTGAACCGTATTCTTTGAAGGAGACGATTATATTCAAATANATTGGCAGTCACAAAACTCTTCGGAACGACATCTTAGATAAATAACAGGTTAACTATTAACCTTTATTTAATGCAGGTTTTGAACCGTATTCTTTGAAGGAGACGATTATATTCAAATAAATCTGTATTGACATATCAATAAAAAATTTTTGTCCAAATGTACAGATTGCCGCCTTTGATAATAGACGACTCATATGTAGTATTATAAAAGATGTACCAAACTATTTTAATCTGTACTAGCTGACCCGGCAGACTTCGTAGTGTCTCAATCGATAAATAAAATACCTAAACTTTTGTATAAAATAAACTTAAAACAAAGAAAAGGAATCCGTCCGACGGGGGGGGGGGGGGGACACATCAAAAGATAAACACAATTGTTATTTTTATTTAATTCCGAGCATTTTCATATTTATCTACCTTTTAAACCTTCTCTGGACTTCCACAAATAATTCAAGACCAAAATTAGCCAAATCGGTCCAGCCGTCCTTGAGTTTTAGCGAGACTAACGAACAGCAATTCATTTATCATAAGATCATATCATAAGATCATAAGATTATATCAATAAGTACGATTGGAATTGTTTATAGATTTTATATTCATAATAAAGAGTAAGAATTAAAAATTGCAGACGTTTATCGCGATCAAAATATAGAGCTGTGAATTTAAATAAGTGGATGTTTCCAGGCGGAGGGTTCGCGCTGGCGGAGGGCAGCAAGGCGACGGGCCTGTCCTCCATGATCGGCAGCTCGCTGCAGGGGCTCGCCGGGCAGCCGCACTGGCTCGTGCTGCTCGTCGTGGTGCTCGTCATCCAGTTCATCACCGAGTTCACCTCCAACGTGGCCATCGCCAACCTCACCCTGCCCGTGCTGGCCAACATGGTGGGTCTTATCTCCGTCTCGATATCTACTAGAGTTTATTACATATGACCTTTTGAATATGTGGCTCAATTAGCGCGCCCGCCCGCTGACGTTGGAAAGTCCTCCGGACCACCCTTAAGTAACATTGTTTGGCTTGTTCCATAAAGAAATCATACTTTTATGTATTTTTTTTTTATTGCTTAGATGGGTGGACGAGCTCCCAGCCCACCTGGTGTTAGGTGGTTACTGGAGCCCATAAACATCCACAACGTAAATGCGCCCGCCGCTCACCTTGAGAATAAGTTCTAAGGTCTCAAGTATAGTTACATTACACAAGTATAGTTTCATCTTTATTGAATACGCTACCTAATGGATTAGACAGAACAGAAACATCAAATGTATTTTTATATCAACAACAATGTTTATTGATGTGTGATGTGATGAGTGCGTCATGCGTAGCAGCAACGTGGGTTGGCTGGCGTGCGGGACTCGCTGTATTTTACACAGAGACTTGACATCACGTCTCTGACAGCTACCTTAGCACCAGATGGGCTGTGAGCTTATCTGGACAATAAAAACATACTTCAGAGTATATTAAGGCAGAGGTGATTACGTTGTACTAGAATATTAATAGTATGCTGTTCCTCCAGGCTCGCGTTCTGAGGATAGACCCGCGCTACCTGATGGTCCCGGCCACGCTGGCGTGCTCCATGGCCTTCCACATGCCCGTGGGCACGCCGCCCAACGCCATCGTGGCCGGGGTCGCACACATCCCCACCGCCAGAATGGTGAGCATCCAAGCGATTTCAAAATTATTGTAAAACAATATATTTCAGTACTGTATACACAATACGTACACAATACGCAGTGGAATGTAAAATCTAGCGACGCAATTTTTTTTTAAGGGATTTTATGACCTGGTAACTAAGACCTTTAAGTCATGTCTTATTTTAATTAATACTGTTATTTTTATGAAAAATTATAATATAGAGTGAAATGAAATGAAGATGATTAATTTGAGACATTAATCAACTGGGATGAAATGAAATGGGATGAAATATCTCAGTTAAATGGTTGTCATTTACTGAGATTTTCTTAGTGGACTTTTTGGAGGATCCCGAGAAGCTACGTCCAGCGGCTTTGTTTCATTTTCCCACATTTGTGCACTTTCACAGATATTAAACAGTTAATAAACCACCGTTATTACACATTTAAACCTGAAGAAACACTAAATAGACAAAACAAATCACACAACTTCACTCCTCGCGTTCCCGCCAAAAAGTCCTACTGACGCAAGGGTCATCGTCTCGTGTCACTGATCGCTTTACATTGCTGGCTGTCGAATTACTAACAAACGACAAGTATTTTTGTTTAATTAATTACTTCAAGAAACATTAACCTAGTTTAGCGTCACTACATTGATACAGCAATTAAATCAATTAATAACTGGAAAAAGTTCGCATCGGTGAAGAATAAAACTATTACTGAAATGCAACATGTAAAAACATCTCACTATTTAATGTTTCGTAGGGATCAATAAAGGCCATTTTCATAACATTTAAGAACAAACTTTTTTTTATTGCTTACATGTGTGGACGAGCTCACAGCCCACCTGGTGTTGAGTGGTTACTGGAGCCCATAGACTTCTACAATGTAAATGCGCCACACACCTTGATTAAGTTCTAAGCTCTCAGTATAGTTACAACGGCTGCCCCACCCTTCAAACCGAAACGCATTACTGCTTCATGGCAGAAATAGGCAGGGTGGTGGTACCTACACGTGCGGACTCACAAAAGGTCCTACCACCAGTAAAAAGAAATCAAATGTACACGTAAGCGCTTGCGCATGCAATTATTGCATTACGCTGCACCAGTTGCCCGGCGGTCTTTATGTAAAAACATATGTACCATCTTACAGAATAAACTTTGTCTTTCATTACTGTGTATTAGTTCTTTATTATTGAAGTCACAATCGGTAACAACATCTACAGAAGTGACCCAAAATCAAACATATTATGTATATCATTTTTTTTATTAAATCTGATTTGAAAACGAGCATGAATATAATTCCAGGCCGTCGGCGGGATCGGACCTAAGATTATAACGACATTAATAGTGTGGGGCTCGTACCTGACTTGGGGCTCGGTGATATTCCCGGTCGGGGACGCGCCGACCGCGCTGTACAACGCCACCGCGACCGCGCTCTCCGCCAACGTGACCCTGGGCTGCGACATCGCCTACTCCTCGCTGCCGGCCGCCGGACGCTTCAACTGTACCGTCCCCGGGAACGGGACCGCGCTGGCCGAAGTCGCCAAGGGACTCTTCAGATGCGACTACCTGCCCTACGACAGTTGAACTTTGGTGTCATAATGCCGGATGTCTAGAGGCGTTTCAAATGTAACTTAAAACGGGTTTCACTGTCCAACTTGAATATTGAATGGAATAGTTTGTTCTCATTAAACCAAGCATTATTATTATTATAAACCTATATAACATTTGATATTGGAGTTGGATGAGTATTTGGTGTTTTTCTAAAATATATAGTTATACAATTTTACCGTAGAAAAATTTGAATACACTGTATGAATTAATGCGGAGTACTTACAAAACATACAGGAGACTATGTTTCTCTTTTAAAAATTATGTACTTACTTGTCATTTTCCACAATAATTCAAAACGAGTACATACTTAAATTTTTTAAAATATCCGCGTATTATATAAGACTTCAAACAAATATCGTGAGAAAGCACAAAGCTATTTTTATATACATTACTTGTTTTAAAAACTATTCGCTCGTATTTACTACGAGTTCGGATTACAGTTAAATCCTAAAATATGTGTAAGTCACAATTCATTGCAGTTACGTTACACTTGCCTCCACAAAACTTACTGCAGTAAACTCCAAACCCAAAGTTCAAACATTCAGTGGTCGCTCAAACTTTTTTCTAAGTGTCTTAATGTTACTTGAAATGAATTCACAAGACACTTAAGAACCGAACGCATGATTTTTAAAACCGAATCGCATTTTAGACAATAATACTTAACTTATTTACCTACATATGTGTTATACCAACGAATATATACAAATATAGTTTTGTATGATTTTTTGTAAGTTCCGGCAACCCACTAAGCATTTTATATACGTATGAATTCAGTCGTGCTACTCCGTAGATGAATTTCGTTCGTGTTAAATTGACAGCCCGAAAAGAAAAGCCAGGAAACTTGTTTGTATTTTAAAAAGAAATTACTTATAAGAAAAAAAAAGGTTATTCAAATGTTGGTAACAAAAAACCTACTAGAAAAATAATATTAATCTTGGCAACACAAATAGTGTTGCCAGCGTGATTTCTGACATTTAGTAGAAATATTTTTCTATAAATAGTAGTAATGTTTCGAGATCCTGTTCTCTGACAATTCTTTCTACTTTTCTTCTTTCATTGTCATTCAGCACGTGTGACGTTCTGAAGGTTGAAGGTTGCAGGTTGTAGTCTTGAAGTTTGTCTACAGAGTAAACGAGAATTCAGTTATTTAATCGTAGCATTTATCTTATTAACTTCGTGTCTGGTTATTCATACTGATGTTGTTTGGAAATATTTAAAACTCTGTTCATTGGTTAATATAGTTTTTAGTACTAGCGCCTCTGGACACTGCTAAGACTTTCTTGTTCGTGTTGTCTAATCGAGGCATTCTAAAGAGACAACCGCATACCATAATTATAATACAGAATACAATATATCATAGTGTTACGCACTGGGGTTCGGGATAAATAAAATTCCAGCAAAGTATAAATTAACACAATATTAGCACTTAGAACACTTCACAAACACTTTAAAACTCGTAAAACTGTTTCGCTTCGAGTAGTTTCGATTACTATCGGACTGCGTGCCATCTCTGCAACGCTTTTATAGTCGAGGCGAAAACCCTAGAATTGTCGAGAATATTCCACACAAGTCGAGTATTGCGTGTTTCCGCTATCAGACAATAGATGGCGCTGTACTTCTCGAGCTTTCTAGATGCTACAAGATCCTTCGATATTCGTTCGATTATACGTCAATAGATGGCGTTACTCTTAGGCGTAACAATACAATATTCAAAATTAATACGGGTACTGGTTTAATTTATTAAAGTTTTGGCTATGAGTGGCGGTGCTCTATTATATTCCCTTTCCGACATCCGTAACTTTGACGTCACTATACAAAATTGCGCGCTTCTCTGTGTAACATAGCTTCCTTATTTGGGAACAGATTCTGAATTTATTTTGTTAAATGGTTAATTTATGTTTGCTGAGACAGTAACAGCCATTAAACAAAGAGTTTGAAATATTTCCAAAAATTACATGCAGTAGTCGAAAACTGACCATTTTCTGATATTAATGTATTTGTACCGGTCTATTTTTATACGTCTTATTAAAACGTCGTAAAGAATTAAATGAGTGCCTACTATTGTAGGACGTTATTTATAATCTATGCTGAATATTTTCTTAACGACCCAATCACGGGCCTTTGTACTGTAATGGCGCTACGTGATTGGTCGATTTTTAAAGAGCATTCTTTTTAAACATATTTTGATGGGTCGTCTCTCATTTAAATGTGACATTTTCTTGGATGACTTAGTTCAAACGGAAATAAAATCGTCCCTTCCTATAATGTCACGTACGATAGAGACGAATATTGAATTTAACGATAAAGTAGAGAGAGAGATATATATATATTTTTATGTAAAATTTTATTAATCCGGAAACGAACGGACGTTCCTAATTTCGTAGTAGAAGATTGATCTGATAATGTGTGAGAGTGTAGTGTCTTTTATTGAATATTTGCGTCTCATGTCTACGGGATGCTCGAGAATTAGACAGGGTGGGTACGCACAAATTTGTTCATTTTTAACATTATTAACCCTTTTAGTGCTGAGCTAAATTGCTAAAAAAGATTATTGAAAGAAAGGACCTTATATAAAACTTTATAAAAAAATAATATAAAATCAATGCTAAATTAACATCAAAATAATTTTAAATAGTTATTTATAAATGTTATTGACTTGTTACAAGTGAGACCTTAGAACTCATGTCTCAAGGTGAGGGGTGTCTTGAAGGGCTAATAAACACTATAAATCGCCTAAGAAACTAATTAGTTTTGTAATTGTTGATTAAGGAATGTATGTTTTTAGCATTCGTGACCACAAAATTTAACGTATTCTTATTTTTCGCGTCGGTCCCCCGCTGTGGTGCATGCGACTGTGTTGTAACGAGTACTTAGGAAAATTAATGACGACGGAGATTCATGTGTGTGTGTGCTTAGTGCGAGTTTTTTAACGTTCTCGATAGCGTAAAAGTTAACTCATATTTGTATGCATATGGAACAGCGCCCCTAGCGGCAAACGTTCCAACTCCGTACAAAATTGAGTTAAGATTTACGCTATCGAGAACGTTAAAAAACTCTCACTACGCACACTGAAATAATTAGTCACAATTCAGCATGTTTTAGAATGTGAGCACCCGTGAACACAACATCAGTAACGTGCGTCCAGCGTAACTGTCTTAACGCGAAAGCTTAACTAACAAAAATATACACAAATCCCGTAGATTAATTTAAGTGTGTGTCTGTAGTAGTTAAATAAAATTGTGAAGGAATAGATAAATTTTTTTTCTGGTAACACTTTTAGTTAAATTATCAATCCACAAGAGTGGTGGTAGCGTTATATTAGTCATAGTTTTTTTTTTTTGTTGTTGTTTTATGTATCATTTAATACACATCCCTCTTCTATGGTGCAAGAAAATTTTGCTTGTCATTGTTATGGGCACGGAGAAGAGGTGTGTATTTGTAAAACTGCATCGTAAAATTTTATTTTTAGTGAAAGTTGTTTAACGTGTAATGGCAATAATAAATATGTAAAATTCTATTAATCTCGGGCGACATTTCGAGGTATAGAACGGTGATGTGTTTTTGCTAGTAAATTAGGAAAATTCCATTTTAGACAGAGTACTATGAATACCAAACGCATCGATCATTGTTTTCAAGGTTGCGTGGTGTTTGACTAAATTAGTAGCCGCGACGAATTTCTGAGTATGTAGAAAGAGTTACAACCTTTGATACATAACCTAAAAACTCTTTATGCATAATTTGAAACAATATTGAACCCGTCGTCGATTTTCGTTTATCGCTATTCTCCATCCGCATATTGTACTTGTTACGATAAAAATCTGATTCCGTAATTTCCTAAATCTAGACCTCGATAGTCTACGGAGCAGTTTCTGATTTAGCCAAAACCACATTCCAAAACGCCTGATTACTGTGTATACTTCAATGGGAATATGTATATAATTGCTTAACTTCGATGGCTATTCTATGACATTGACCGAAGAAATTATATCTACTACACCTGTATTAAACAAGTGAGATTCACTCACATGCCGGTGTACACAATCTAAAATAAGACCTATTTGTCTAAAAGTGAATGTAACTAGAGCTTTAGAACGGTGAGTAGATTTGAATCTATAAGAGTATTTTAGGCGCTTGTGAATGTATGCGCCATAAGGCGCGTGCGTCGCTTAAACTATCTCAATACCAGTAATAAAAGGTTGGATCTACTTATTGTGAAAATCGCCGATATGAGGATTCGTTTAGTTTTTTATGTTCAGGTCTCATAAGTCTGAATTGTGAGATAAACTTTAAATAACTTATCTTAAACACATACATCAGAAGCAATTACAATTTAAGTCTTGACTTAAACTCTTGTTAAGTCTTAACTTGGTTATGGCTATAACTAGAAGCTGGCAACACTAGCGATTTGAAGTTCGTTATTGTCTTTCAATAGTCAAACTCAGTGGTAGCCAAGTTGAAGTTAACCAATGTTATCCTAGATAAACAATGATGCTTTGAAAATTAAAATTTAATGAAATTCATTTTGGAAGTCAGTTTATACGCTACAGTTTATCAAAGCGAAACTGGTTAGCCGCAAATTACGAAGTACCCAAGGGCGGATCCAGCTTTGGCGCCAAGAGGGGGTCACATAGTCGTGGGCAAGTTAAGAACTTATAATTTAATTGTGATAACAATAGATAATAAATAAATCATGATGTTCTTCAATTAGTCCAAGTTAGTTCAAGTCCTGGAACTAGCTCAGGGGGGGTCATGACCCCCCCCTGGATCCGCCGTTGGAAGTACCTACATTAAATATGTAAAAAAACTTTATAAGCAAAACTGGAAAGCCGCAAATTACGAAGTAACTACATTAAATATGTAAAAATGTAATTCTTTACTTCGTAATTTGCGTATTCCACATGGAATACCTATGTTTTCCAGAATATGTTCCCAATTCTCAGTGTTTACTAAACAGTTTTTTTTTAATTTTCTTGCAAATTCACAATTCGTACACGCTGTTCTGCTCGTGACCACGGTTGATGTTGCTCGGTTTTCTCATTTTGTAGTAATTAACTATTGGCGTTAGTAAAAGCTCATTTGTAAATAAAGGAATGGAATATTGTTTGTTGTTAATAAAAATTCCAATGTATTAAAGTGTGAAGTTTTATTTCTTCGATATATTATGATTTTCAAGAGTGTAAATGTATTTTGCAATGGAAAAGTAATGAACTTTTAGAATATGTTGTGTGTGATGAGGATAATTTTTGCCAGCCATCGTATTGCGTACAGGATATCAAAATTACAAAAAATCTTCAGTTTTTGTATAAGTCATTTCACCGTGAGAAAAATCGTAATAGACAAAATCTGTTCATCCGATAAATCTTTTGGCACATAATTTGGATTTATCTAACCTTTCAGTACAAGATCTTAGCTCGTCTATGCTGCTTTGTGAAAATATGTCCATCGACGCAGTGGACTGTTTATAATCAAATTCTAAATCTACGGGCAACTTTCCGGTTATTTAGTGTTCAGTCAATTTTAACAGGTTAATAAGAATATTTATGATGTAACATACATTTGTCATATTGATAACAAGTATTATCATAATCATTTTATAGGATAAATAAACCAAATTCGCATTGAAACAATGCAATGGATTGATATGACTTTTTTTAAATGATAGTATTAGGTCAGGGATGTGACATTGGCTACTTTCTACACCAAAAAGACATTTCATTCCCACAGGAAACTGCACAGATGCTCTTCTCTGATCACGCGGGCGTAGCCGCAAATAATAGGTAGCTAGCTAGTTTAGCTAGTTAGTGATAGATATGGGCAATTCAATATTAAGTGGATACACTGCTTGTTAAAAAAGTTTCTGGCCATTCGCATCAGTGCGAATTTGGTTTATTTTCGTAGAAAAAGAGCTTCGGCTACAATTTAATACATAAACCTTAAAAAATGTGAATGCGTGTCAATAAAATCCAATATAATAGTATGATCGACCGTCATGATTTTAGTATAGTAGAAAATTAAACTTTCAATGTTTATCAATATCCTGGCAACATTAAAATGAAATGAAAAATCTATATTGACTTAAAGGTCTTAGTTACCAGGTCATAAAATTCCTTTAAATAAAAAAGACAAATACATTCAGTTTTTCTTTAGTTGTCATAATAGTGCGAAAGCGGGAGTGTCGTTAAAATAGACCGGAAACTAAATAAACGCGAAGTTAAATTAAAAATGCCCGTGGATTTAGAATTTGATTATAAACAGTCCACTGCGTCGATGGACATATTTTCTCAAAGCAGCATAGATGAACTAAGAGCTTGGACTGAAAAGTTAGATAAATCCAAATATGTGCCAAAAGATTTATCGGATAAACAGATTTTGTTGTTTTACAACGCTTGTTATGGTGATGTTGAAAGAACAAAGTCATGTATAGAAAAATATTATTCTTGTAGGAAGAATGCACCTGAATTTTTTGACAATCGATATCTCCATTTGGAAGATATGAAAAACGCGCAACAAGTTTTGTAAGTTATTTTTATTGAGAAGCTTTTCATTCTGATATGCTATTATTATTACTATTAATTAAATACTAAATAATAAAAATATGTATGTATTGACTTTTTGCAATATTCTATGTTTTTTTTATTGAACAAATCTTATTTCATAATTGAATTCAAACTCTTATAAGTATCGAATATATGTGTAGCGTTACGTAAATAAATTATTAAAATAACGATAACACTTGTTTTCCAAAATCTACTGTTAAAAATTCAAATTTAATACANCTATTAATTAAATACTAAATAATAAAAATATGTATGTATTGACTTTTTGCAATATTCTATGTTTTTTTTATTGAACAAATCTTATTTCATAATTGAATTCAAACTCTTATAAGTATCGAATATATGTGTAGCGTTACGTAAATAAATTATTAAAATAACGATAACACTTGTTTTCCAAAATCTACTGTTAAAAATTCAAATTTAATACAACATTTTCACAAAATACTAATGGCCAGAAACTTTTTTAACAAGCAGTTTATCCACTTAATATTGAATTGCCCATATCTATCACTAACTAGCTAAACTAGCTACCTATTATTTGTGGCTACGCCCGCCTGATCAGAGAAGAGCATCTGTGCGGTTTCCTGTGGGAATGAAATGTCTTTTTGGTGTAGAAAGTAGCCAATGTCACATCCCTGACCTAATACTATCATTTAAAAAAAGTTATATCAATCCATTGCATTATTTCAATGTTAAAGAAGAACAAACAAACACACTTTCAAATTTAAAATATTAGCGTTTGTTTTAATCACTAAGGTGAGCAGATGGACTGCTTAATATGAAGTGATTACTGATATTCCTTAAGGACCTTGTAACATTAATGATGCAGTGTATCATCAGATATAATTGAAGAATCAATTGTAATAGTAGCAGCGTAAGAAGCGTAATTGTTAAGCATACTGTAAGAGTGGGCACTCCTCAATCTGATTGCTTTAAGCTCCCACTCAATGTATGGTTGCTTTATGATAGGAATAGTTAGGTGTAGGTACCTGCCCTTATACCTATACCAAACCTTGGTACCCATTTAATTAACATAGAACAAAACAGCTATGTAAGGAACAAATATTATTATTTTCATATAGGGAAAGACAGTACTTATCTGTTGGTAATTTCCTATAACAATTTGCGTTAGCTTAAACATAAGTTTTAAGAGTCTAGAAGAGTAATTAAAAATGCAATTGGCATTTCAGAAGATGTAAATAATTTATCATGTTCTATTTTAGTGCTTACAAAGGTCAAGGAATATTTTAAAAAATGAATTATTCATTATGCTATTCACATCTTTGCAAAAAGGTGCAGTATACTAAAATTAATATTAATTAGGTTAAAATTAAAATAATATGTGAGATAATTTTTTTTAAAGTACAATTTGGTATCTAATAACTATTTATATTCTGCTGCTACAATATTAAGATTTACACCCGATTGTGGTCAAGTTCCTTGAAACAATGCTGAAATACTTTGGCAGACGAGCATTCATTTGTATAATCGCTAATATACAGTTTCAACACTGTCTCATGTGTGTACATTATTGTAAGAGACTATGCCGATTCTGACTGAGTGAATGATGTTTTCTGTAATTTAGGCTTCGAAACCTCTGTATTTTGTGCGAAAAAATCGCTAATAATAGTTCAGCACGAGTGATTACGGCAGGAACGTGTATTTATTGAGGATTTCTCAGTATATTGCTCTGCCACCTATTGTGACTGAAATTTTCGGAACACACTTGTTAATAAGTAATGCTGATTTTCTATACCTTATTTTACGAAAAAAAAAAACAATAATTAATTTATACAGTTAATATACAACAATAAAATAGAAATATGTCGAATATGCCAGCATTTGATTTTCTTCTTCTCAGTCGTTCACTCCTGGCGGAGTGGTCGTGGTTACGTAAGTCTTAATATTTGGTTGCGGCTTTTGAGAGGCTTCTCCATCTCTCTCTATTTGTGGCGGTACGTGTACACTCAGTAAGGGAACACTTCGTAGAAAACTTAACCAAGTCTGTCCACCTTGTGGGTGATCGGCCGCGAGAGCGTTGACCGTCTANTATTTGGACCTCAAGGCTGCTGTAGCCTCTACTCTAGGTAGGTATGTAGTTATACCGCTACTTGCTCGGTCGCCAGAGCCTCGTTGGTTATCTAGCAGGAAGTACCACGGAAGCCAATTGTCTTCCGCCGCCATCCAGCGCGTGCAGGTGAGGTTGACATTTGGGATGGCAGAGATGTTGATTACCTTCCCCTTACTCCCCATTTGATTTTAAAGGCTCTAACAATCATGGGTATCTATCTCCCATCATTGTGCGCCCGCTGTAAACAAAGAAAAACAAAAATATACATCAATGGCGAAATTTGAATATTACCAGGAATCACGTCGCTTCGAAATTTGAATCGAATCTATCGATATTAATTTTATTATCGATTTTTTGTAATTGTAAAATGCCAACAATAAATGTAATAAAATAAATTCACAAACCGATGGATAATTAATTACAGAAGATTGTTGTATAAAACCGGATGTGCGCATAATGATTTCCGTCTGGTCCATGACGTTACTGTAAATTATACTGTGTATATTTAAAGTTAAATTTAGGAGTATAACAATTAGTTTTTCGTTTCACATGGCCTCTTGATTCGCTACATTGATAGCAAATTGTTGAAAACAGACTACCTAGAATCAATAGGCAGGATGCCTGACCTCGCCCCCGTTCGCAGTCGCCTGTCTGGCCGTCGCCTGCAATGCGAGCTTAAAGGTGATTGATTCGTCCAAGTTTATTTCCTACTTGGACCGATTGTATCTATGTTTACATGTTACTTCAATTGGCTTGTCTATGGAACATCAATTACAATTTGTACCATACTCATTATGCTCAATTTAAAATATAAGAAATACAATAATGGTATTTAAATGGCCGTTGTATTCGCGTTCGAGTGATGCGTCTTTTCGTCGGTTCAGCGTCCCTAGTGCGAGCTTTTTAACGTTCTCGATAGCGTAAAAGCTAACACAAATTTGTATGGATTTGGAATGTTTACCTATATTTGCCGCTAGGGGCGCTGTTCCAACTGTATACAAATTTGAGTTAACTTTTGCGCTAACGAGAACGTTAAAAAACTCGCACTAAGCACACCGATAGGCATGTACCAAAACTTGCTACTAAATATATGTATATATATTCACAATGTGTTCATAGCATCTCGTAATAAACTATACCACAAAAAAATAACAATTACCTTCATTATTGATTTTGGGCAGATTGTGAGCTAGCAAACAGTGTCCTAAAATCTAGAAATTTCCACGCAAACTTTGAACAGAATTTGCACACGAAAATGTGTATGCGTAAGATTTCATAACATGATTTCTTCAAAACGGCCACAATGGACACAAAAATGGGGCCACGGCGAACATACAGCCTTTAGAGTAAATCTGATAAGGGTATTTGTTGTCATTTAGCTGTGCTAAGGCGTGACAACTTTTTGAGTGAAGTAATATATCGAGAGGTGAAAGGATAATAATATTTGGTTGAAGCGACATTTTTGCAACTTTACAGGAGAGCTATACAAAGCGATTCTGCGAAGCACTGCTCTTGCTAGGGCTAGTGTTCGAAATTTTTCTCAGATTGATCCCGTGAGCTCTTCTACACACGTGTAGCTAGAATAGCCCCTTAGGCTACCAGCGAATAGGTAAAAGAAAAAAGTTACCATCCTGACTTTTCATGACTGATCACATTTTAGGCATCTGAAGGACAGCATAGCTTTATGTAATTGTTTTTGAAGTTATACTTCTTTAGGCGCGTTATGAAAAATTGATGAGAGTTAAATTTTACGAAGTTGCCCACTAAATCGCTCATTGCAATACGACCGACGTAACTTGGCGAGTCTGAATTTAGCCGCAGGTGAACTTTCCGAACCGTACCGAGAATTACCGAATTTATACGAGGTCAAGATAAGGGATGTCCAATATGCGAGTTTGATTATGTTGTTTAATCGATTTTTTTTCAAATTGATTAAAATTTAAATAAAAAAAAAAAGAAATAAACTTAATAAAAATAATATATAAGTTCTTACGCGCGTCCATAAGTAAACGCACCCTTTTTTTTGTTGTATCTCCGGCATTACAGAACGTCTCGGAACAAATAATGATTCCGTGATAAGTTATTTTTTACGTAAACCTACGCCATCGCAAACGATTCAAGGCATTTCAGAGCGACCTTTATTTTTTGAATTGTTTCACCCTATTGCATCGGAGAATGCTCTATTGTATCAGCCCACAGACGTCCACTGCTGGACATAGGCCTCCCTCAAGCCTCGCCAAAAAGATCGGTCCTAGGCTGCTTGCATCTAGCGGATCCCCACGATCCTCAAAATTCGTCGGTCCATCTTGTGGGACTACCCACGCTACGTCTACCGAGAATGCTCACGTTATATGAATGACTTTTATATTTTTATTAATTCGAAAAACAACGAAAAATAATCCGAATTTGCTTAACAACGATGGTTATTATAATACCAGTAGTACTTTATGGTAATCGATTTAGGTCTAAATATAGATCCAGACGCTTCTGTTACGATGTTAGGGGTCGTGACCTTTAATCTTACGAGAATTAATTATTGTGCGTTTATAAGTCTATCTAATAATCTATAGAAATGTGACCAAAACCCCATCGCGCAAGACATTGTCCGTCGGAGATGGCGTTGGATAGCACAGACTCTACGGTGCAGCGGAGTCAGCGCAGCATCAATCGCGTTTGAGTAGCAATCGCGTGGCAGGAGAAGACCTGGTCGCCCTGTACATACTTGGCGATGCACTGTGGAGAGTGAGATGAGGACTGCCAATGTGACCTGGAGTGATGTCAAGAAGCAAGCGCAATATAGGGTCAAGCGGAGACAACTGTTGAGGGCCCTATGTACCAGTAGGGTACCCTAGGACTACAACAACAACAACAACATAAGTCTATCCACCAATTTTTTTCATTTGTGGGAATTATTTGTAGTTAATTCTATAGATATATAAATTTAAAACTTTTTATTGACAGAAGACTGACGAGCTTATAAATATGCTTAATGGTAAATAGTTTACCGTCGGTCGTGGACATAAGCAAGTCCAAGGCATGAGAAACCCGGTTCCTAACGCTGAAGGCGCTTCAAACTTCAATTATCCTGCTCTTATTGTATCTATATAGTTACATTCCAGCTCATTACCTGGTCGTCCATTTTCGCTTAAGAAACAAGATAGGAATAAAATGAGATTTTGATAGTGGAATAGTAGAATTTTTCACTTTCCTCGTGTTTCCACTGTAACGTATTGTCTCATTGTTTTTACCGCTGCCACTGCTGTATCTTCTAACCGAATTTGAGCTTTAAAGCTCAATTGAAACATGCACTTTTAAACGTAGGGATTACTTTACTTTTGTCCAAACATATCCAGGTTTTTCTAATTATGTGATTGATTGATTTGCGAAAATTCCGGGAACAAAAACACGTTTTATCTCATCGATCGCTACTCGACCCTCGCCTTTAAAGGGCATACGTAATATACCGTATCTGTTTTGATTATTTAACGCGAGCCACAAGGAAGTAATGTCCTTTATCTAGGACGTAAGAATTTCCTGTTCTTTTTTTTTAAATTGCGTAAATTGGTGGACTTGTACGCTTATATTTCACGCTTCTTAATTTTTCGTGTAATTCAATAATTACGTCTGATTTTAATGATTCGGAAGCATCCGTTCTCCCAACGAGATGCGGTGCAAACCGGTTGTTAAATCTAATTTTTTGTGTGTCGTCGAAGCTCGTATATAATAATTAGAAGCTTTTTTTATTTAAGAAGTTTCATTTTTTTATTTTTATAAATGCTATTGTTGTTGATTCGCCGTGTGAATTTGATTATATCGACAATACAGTTGAAATAATTGTTGTCTATTAATTAAATCTTACCAACATTCTTGTTTTGTTTTATATGTTACTAGCTGACCCGGCAGACTTCGTAGTGCCTCAATCGATAAATAAAAGACCTAAACTTTTGTATAAAATAAACTTAAAGCAAATAAAACGAACTCGTCCGACGGAGGACACATCAAAGGAAAAACAAAATTGTTATTTTTATTTAATTCCAAGCATTTTCATATTTATCTATCATAATTCAAGACCAAAATTAGCCAAATCGGTCCAGCCGTTCTCGAGTTTTAGCGAGACTGACGAACAGCAATTCATTTATATATATATTAGAGATAATAGGAAAAAAAATACACAGGTAAGAAAGCACGTATTTGGATAACGCACAGTAGATGGTTAAAATATAAAAAGTTATTGTATTTCAGAATGCATTCCATCGCGTAGACATACATACTTGTATATGTATAGGTCGTAATTTTGCCGTCAAATTTTGAAATAGTTGAAAAAAAAAAAGTTTGCCGCGGCAAAAAAAGGTTGAGAATCACTGCTTTCAACATTCACGATCTATAATATACTTTTTTTATTGCTTAGGTGGGTGGACGAGCTCATAGTCCACCTGGTGTTAAATGGTTACTGGAGCCCATAGACATCTGCAACGTAAATGCGCCACCCACCTTGACATATAAGTTCTAAGGTCTCAGTATAGTTACAACGGCTGCCCCACCCTTTAAACCGAAACGCATTACTGCTTCACGGCAGAAATAGGCAGGATGGTGGTACCTACTCGTGCGGACTCACTAGAGGTCCTACCACCAGTTGATAAGTTATGAAATTTATGATGAAAAAAAAATTGTTTCAGAGAATTCTCATTTCTGCCAGGGAAGTCTTGCGACGGCTACGATATCGTCTACCACAGGCTCCACGATACAGATCCGTCGAAATACAGCCTTGAGACCGGAGTCAAACTGCTCTTCATGACTTTAGGTAAGATTTCTTCACCGCTTATTCACTTATAATAGTAAACTACTGGTGGTAGGACGTCTTGTGAGTCCGCACGGGTAGGTACCACCACCCTGCCTATTTCCACTTGAGAAGCAGCAATGCGTTTCGGTTTTAAGGGTGGGGCAGCCGTTGTACTGTAAAAACTGAGATCTTTCAACTCACGTCTCAAAGTAGGTGGCGGCATTTACTTTGTAAATAGATGTTATGGGTTCCGGTAACCACTTAACATCAGGTGGGCCGTGAGCTCGTCCACCCACCTAAGCAATAAAAAAAAACAATAGGTTTTATTAAATCTTTATATATATATTTCTTCTGTGCGTGTGTTTGCGTTTGGGTGGCGCCCTGGATGGTTTAGATTCACAAATCAGCCCGGCAGATGGCGCTATAGTCGGTATCTAGGTTATTCATCTTTCCTGTAAATAATTTATATGGCAAAACAACGTTTGCCGGGCCAGCTAGTTATGTATTTATAATTGAACTACTTTTAATTTGTCATGGATTACGAAAACTGTAAACTGTATTGTATTCGTGGAAATAAATATCAGGATAGTAAAAAAACTGTAAAAATAGCGGAAATCTGAGTAAATTTTATATTTAATGTGGAGACCAGACCCATTAAAAAAAACCGACGAATTGTATCAGAATTTAAAATCTCAGAGGATATTACAGAGGCCAGACAAAACCTTGACATTTTTAGGTTAGTGCCTTTTGCTGACGCGAGGTTGTAGTTCTTTACATACAGATGTTGTACATCTCTAATGAAACTTTGACATCATTGCTTAACCCTTAGAGCGCGAACCGTCGATAGATCGACTCTACTAATGCCTATAAAGTGCGGAGCGTCGGAATACCGACTATTTGCGCAGTTTGATTACAGATATTAGGTTTTTTTTATGATTGAAAGATTACTGGTGGCCCGGAGGCCTTTCCAGTTTCACCAGGACAGGTGGGCGAGCAAAGACTCAGCCAAGAGGGGTGGGATGTGCTAACAGCTGCCCGAGCGCTTCCGAAGGAGACCTAACAACTCAAGAGCAATTGCTTCGCGAATGAATCTACTACCGGATCGGAATCGCGACCCGCTGAGAAGATCCGGCGAGAAACTCAGCGAGCTGATGCATGGGTCAGGTTGAACGTCGATCTCTTTGTCGAGTTCGATGAGTACGGTTACTGGGGTCTCTAAGCCTGCTCCTAGTGCTAGAGCTGAAGGCGTCTAATGCAATGGTTATTGGATCTGATGGATCCGTAAGGACGTGTCTAGGGCGTCGACGGTGAAGATATTAGGCACCGACCTGTACCACGTGTCTTGGCGCAAGCACGTATAACGTTTTTAATAAGTTAAGAACATTTATAAATGACCATTTAAAATTATTTTGTTGGGAATTTAGCATTGATTTTTTAATATATTTATAATTAAATTATCTAATAAGGTCCTTTTTTAAAAACAAGTTTGTTGCATTTTCTGCTAAAATGTGTGAAAATAAGATCAACACTAAAATAGTTAAAGATGTTGCCGGCTATCATCTATGCCACTACGACTGTTAAAAAAAATTAGTTATAAAAAAAACACAACAAAAACACGCCTAATATCAAACGGAACCAACAATTAATTTCATATTTTTTCATACTGTGCATACTGGTCAGGACAATATTAGAGCGAAGTTCTAAAATTATTGCATTGCCATCGGTCCTTGATTGCGATTGTGCCAATTATCAAGTTAATCGAACGTGTTTTTTAAGTTAGTGAAAATTACTTTTAAAGTTTCCGTTGTATACAAACCAACACATGTATGTACATACCAAGCTAATAAAAACGTGTTAAAGATGCTACCTTATCCCGATACGCTTAGGGTTTCCGCTTTCCACCATTTTTTACAACTTCGTGGGTGGTATTCTTACGTGTAGCTTCTGTTTACGCACGTTAAATTTAATGGTAGACAGCGGCTTGGCTCTGCCCCTGGCATTGTTGACGTCCATCAACGACGGTGACCACTTTCCATCAGGCGGACTGTATGCTCGTCTGCCTACAAAGGCAATAAAAATAAAAACGCTTAAGAACAAGATAGGCTCATAGCCATATTGGAACGCAGGAGAGGCGCGGATATTAGCTTTTAAGTATTAAACAGAAAATTTTGGTCGCCGTGGCCAAAACCAGCCTGGAACCATGATGATAGTGATGATATTGTATCCCAATCTATATATTAATACGTGAAGCAAAAACTTTGTATCTCTTTTTACGAAAATTGCGCGGACGGAGGAGTATGAAATTTTCCACACTTATAGAGAATATAGAGAAGAAGTGCACAATGCTAATATTTTTTTTAAATAATGCACAAAATATACATTAAATCAATAAAGAAAACATTACACACACTACATACCATGTATTTGACGCACACACGCATGCATTCTATTTATTGTCAAACTTTTGTTCTTGACGTCTGTTGTCAAATTGAGAATAGATTAAATATTGTTTGTCTTTGTTAATATTTTTTATAGTATAGTCTTGGCGAAATTTGTGATTATAGAAGTATAAAATACAATCATAATAGTGGACAAACTTAGAATTCCAATTAATTATAGTCGAATTTCGACTACTGCGGGATCTCTAGTCTATCTAAATAGACAACCTCGCATCAGTCTATCATACCATAACACGTTATCGTGGATGAGAGAGTTAAACAAAATCACGCGATTTCGTAAGGCGCTCAAACTTTTTATGTCAGATACCTTAAACAAATATGAGGTTTACGTAATTTTCAACCGAGCACGAAATGTGAACGTACTGTGTTGTAATGTTAAGTTACGAAATTATAATAATATATTTGTTGGTGTCGTGTAAATGTATATGAAATCAAACTTAAATCCGGGACAGAAGGTGAATATTAATGTTTTTATTTATTTATTTATTTATTGCTTAGATAGGTGGACGATCTCACAGCCCGCCTGGTGTTAAGTGGTTACTGGAGCCCATAGACATCTATAACGTAACCTCGAGATATTGAGTTCTAAGGTCTCGGTATAGTTACAACGGCTGCCCCATCCTTCAAAGCGCAACGCATTACTGTTTCACGGTAGAAATAGGCGGGGCGATGATACCTACCCGTGCGGACTCACAAGAGGCCCCATCACCAGTAAAATGAAATATTCTTTCTTTTTCCCTCATCTAAAAAAAGTCTCCTTCACTTGTTTCTTTTCTTGCCTACCTATGCTGGTAACCTCGAGGGGTTATACTAGCTTCACCAAACGTGTAGGCGACCTGACGCGGCTCAGTCTGGTTAATTTGGTAATACCAGCCCTGGCAAAAGCAGTGCTTCGCAGAATCTACCACCGCATCGGAATCACAACCTACTAGGAATATCCGGCGAGAAACTCAGTGGGCTTTTTTATTTCTATTAATTGACTTTCGAGCAGCGTGGTCTGTCAACACAGATAACCCCCAATCTGTGTCTGGGGGTTATCTGTGTCAAACAGCTGTCAAGTTTCGAAACGACCCGGATTTTTGGGAAGGGATTCATTTGACGTTTACCGCGATAAGGGACTTAAAAGTAAAGTTAATGGTTAGGTTATAAATGCTTAGGTATGAAAGGTAGGAGCAAATATTCATACGCGTACCTTATCAGCACGTTTAGAACCTCTTGTGAGTCCGCGCGGGTTGGTACCACCACCCTGACTATTTCTGCCGTGAAGCAGTGAAGTTCGGTTTGAAGGGCGGGGCAGCCGTTGTAACTGTACTGAGACCTTAGAACTGATATATCAAGGTGGGTTGCGCATTTACGTCGTAGATATCTATGGGCTCCAGTAACCACTTAACACCAGGTGGGCTGTAAGCTCGTCCACCCATTTAAACAATAAATTAAAATAAAAACAGTTCGCACCAGAGAAATCTGCGATGAAGGAATAACATCGTCTTATATAAATCAAACCGAAGTAAATTTTGCTGGTAATAGAGACTATTGTGAGTTCATACGGGTAGGTTCTGTCGTCCTGTTTATTCCTTCTACGCAGTATTCTTGTTGTCCGGTCTGAAGGGTAGGATTGTAAAACACAACTGAGACTTTAATCTCGTGTCACAGGATAGGTGTTTTTTTTTTATTGCCTGTTTTGCGATACATTAAATACAAAAAAGTACAATTGGCGGTCTTATCGCTAAGAGCGATCTCTTCCAGACAACCATCAGGTGGACAAGAATCATTAGAAAACGAACTACGCGCGGTGTACCAATCCAGTGAAATATACATATATACATTTACACATATACACATACACACATACACATATACATATATGTACACATAGATATATCTAGTTCTTTGATTACTTCGCACGAAACTCTCAAAGCTCAACTAAAATCTGACAATGGTTTCCGATTATTATCATTATGCCATTATCTATTAAATACACTGAAAATATTATGAACTTAAAATCTTCCTTCAGCTTATCCATAATTATTTTGTGAAATAAAAAGCACGTGGTATGCGCGAGCTTGTAAGTTTGGCTTTTATGTTCAACTCGACGTTGCGTCACGTCGCGTGTCGTTATCTGATGTATCCACAGAAGGTACTTCTTACTATTCCAACACGTCATCGCGAGCTAATAAATCACGCCCAACACTTCACCGGAAAGCAATAACAATATTCAATATCTGTATAGTTTTTATTGTATCATTCTTAAATACCTGTAGCTTTTTTTTCCTAGCTATGCTGATAGCCTTGAGAGGCTATATCAGCTTCTCCTTGACGTGTAGGTGAGCTCACGGGGCTCAAACCGGTTTGGTCGCTAACACTGGCCCTAGCTAGAGCAGTGCTTCGTAGAATCTACCACCGGATCGGAAACGCGACCCACTGAGAAGATCTGACGAGAAACTCAGTGGGCTGTGTCTATGGGTTAAAACCTGTAGCGATTGGTAAAGAAACAAAAGAAAAGAGACAGTGATATAAGCGCAGTAATATTTTACAATACTAAATTTTTTTTGTATGTTTTTA